TATTATGTTGTTGCGCCACCAGGGTAAAGCCATTTTATAACCCGAAATCCGTACAGGGCAGCAGTGAATCATTAATTGTGTCAGTTGCTACAATAGGGTTGCTTTTGTAGTTGGTTGATTTTGGATTTTTGTTTAATTTTGTAGCGATATCGTTGTGGGTTGTGCTATGAGGCTCCAACTTTTCGCGCAAAAAATAACCGCATGGCTCGTACACTATTATAACTAGTTATAGAAAATAATGAAACGATCGAAAAAATGATAAGCTAATTGTGTATACATTAATTGTAATTTACCGTTAGAATTAACCGGGCACATGCTTTCAAATAACACAAGAAGCTGTTTTTTTTTGTAGCAGAAAAAACCATAAATAGTTTAGAAATCTAAAATTCCACTAATATAAAACCTGAATGTACAAAGTGGCTTCTACAGAAAATACTATCAAAAAGCCGGTAAGAACTTTTTCGTATATTTTTAGCACTTTGAGATAGTTGAGCACAGCTCTTCGTCGGTCATTTAAAAGAAAATTGTTGTTCACGTTAATTTGAATGAAAAAATAAGTCATCTACTTACTTACTTCACAAGCTTGGTTTTTTATTTGTTAAATTTATTTTATTTGTTGTTACCGAAAACTGCTTATGCTTTTTTTGCATTTCACTTTTCAATTTCATAATTTGTTTACTTAATATTTAAATTTATTTATTGGCTTAGTCAGTGTGTAGGCATACATATACTTTAGTTATTAGCAGCTAACTCAATACTATTTATTTTTATTTTATTTGCTTTCTTTGTAACAATAATACATACAAACACACGCAATTAATACCTAATTATTATTTATTTAACTGCATATTATCTATGTTATTTTACTAAGTAGCTAAACTACTATATTTTAATATATACGTCAGTATTTAAACAATATAAATTAAAAAATATAATTGAAAGAAATTAAATGATAAACTGAAAATGTTCACGCTAAAGGTTGATATGACACTAATGATAGCTCTAATGAGCTAAGTTTGGATAAGAAGTCCGCCCATAGAAAAGAAAACGCCACAACACATCCAAACCGACTCGCGAGTCAGACGCATTGTGTATGCCGCCTGCAAATGTATTTGTTGAAAATAAAGGCGCAAGCTGAAATTCGAAAAATCATTTTGAAAATTTTTCAACAAAATCCAAAATGGTATCACATAAAAATTCCAAAACCGTTTAAGTGTCTCATCAAAGTGTGAGTCGCATTTAGAAAAAAATCAATGACAATTTAACCATTTATCGCAAGGTGGGATGTGGTACAAAATATGGATCAGGAGACCTGCACAGAGCTAAACGTGTCAAGGGCGCTTTTGAAAAAAAGATCCAAAAACATATTTTGGGCAGAAAAATTGCTAAAAAATGCGGTTGCTTTGAATTATTTGTACGTAAGGTGTAGCTGATCTTAAATCGTATAAAGTTCATAGAGTCCGAGATCGGAATGCTACCAAGAACGTGGACGCAATAAAAAGGAAGTACCATTTTTTGTTTTTAATTTTTGATTTTTACGCTGTCTCCAGATCGAAAAACGAGAAATCAGGTCGATCATGTTGTGATAGACGGAAGGCATGCTTCCAGCGCTTTGGACGTACGTACACTCCGAGGGCCAAACATCGACTCGGACCACTATCTTGTTGCAGCCAAGGCGATAGTTCGAAGTTTGTTCAACGTTATTGGGCTTTCTCAAAGTAATATTTTTGAAAAAAGATTGTATCAAATTAAAAAATATAAGTAAAAGAGGAAAATTCACGAATTATTTTTAACAAAAAGAAAATTAAATTCGCTATGAAAAAATACTATAACAACGTACCAAGTTTTTAACAAACATTTTTAATATAAAATAGCAGTTAAAATTTTATATTTCCTATTTTTAAATTACCAAAATGCACATAAATCTTATAAAATATTAGTTTTCATTTAAAACAATTATTTATTCACTGATATCACTAAAATCATTTATACTTAATTCTTTGGTTATAATATTATTTTTATCAGTAATTGATTATTCCTATTAAAGTACTCGTTTTTCAATATATGTATTGTATTTTACATGCACACGCGTACGTTTGAAATTAGGATCACATTGAGATCTTGAGTCATATTTGTTTCTAGGATGCCTTTGCGTGTACATACATATATTTGTAGATATGTTGCCAAAATTTTATTCTCGGAAATTTGACTTTTTAAAATACACATTACTTCATTTTAACTATTTAGTGCCGTTCAAACGCATTTTTTCAGAACAAAATTTGTGTTCAAAGGGAGGAAAAATTTTAAAGCCTACGTGAGAAAGCGGCCCTTAGTACTTAAATGGCAACGTGCTTTAGGCTACGTTATACTAGAATACGTATGTATTTAGTTGAATTTCCAATTTCTTTAACTATTTAATTTTGTAAGTACGTGGAGATGTGGTTATTAATTTTTAGAACTGTTGGATGATTTTTCTTAAAATAAACTCATTCTCCTATTCATGGAAATTGTGGAGAAGGTTGGGTTAAGTTATGCTGTTTGACCATAAGAGGTCTCACATAGACGAATATAGTCGGCCCATAACGTTGCCAGAAACGTTTACGACCTATGAATCAATACTTTCACGCAAATAATGTTGCTGAACATTTCTATAATGCATGCATTTCGAGCTACACAATTACATACAAACAAACACGCTATGATTATAAAATTGTATGCCTATGTAAGTATGCACATTAGGGTGGTCCAAAAATCCATGTGATAAAGTAAAGTCGGAATTTTTATGCTCCTACCCCCTAGGATTGCTCTATACCGAAAAAATATACCTCTATTTTTTATTTTAAAATCAAAAACTATTTCCAGGTCGCTCAAACCGCTTAAAGTTTTGCATGTATTTTTTATGGGGGAAACAATTTTTCGTAGAAATGGTAGTAACTATATTTTATAGGTCCGCCAAAACCCCCCGGAAATGCCAGAAAATGCATTGGGGGGTTAAATAAAAAATCTTCAGTATTAAAAAAATGGTTAAACAAACAATTAGGTATTGTTATTGGAAGTCTCCTGAAGATAAACAGAGTTTTCCTATCGAAAAATATTGATTTTCAAGAATTCTATACCATTTCTATGATATTTTTTCCCCCATATGAAATACATGGAAAATTTAGAGCGCTTTGATTTCAAAATAAAAAATAGGGCTATATTTTTTCCGATATAGATCAATCCTAGGGGTGAGAGTATAAAAATTCACGACTTAACTTATTTTGGACCACCCTAATAAACATACATGTGTACTTACAAGCTCTAGTGCTTAGTTTATACCTCTTCAATTAAAATTAATCATGTAATACGTTAACGCGAACAGCAACAAAGTTAGCTCTTCCTTTATTGTGACAAGTTTAGAGCGAAATGCCGGTCGTATTTTTTTTTTGTAACACCATGCGAAGTCAATTTTACACACAAAAAAAAAATTAAAATATTCGCGAAACTAGGGGCCAAAAATGGTAAAATAACGTTTTTATTTTTTGGTGTATTGTGGAACGATTTTTTGTCATCCCTTGTCAAATTTGGTTTAGAGACAAACCGGTTTTGGCGTTGTGCCATCTTCAGTGTCATTTTTTATTTTTTTCTGGCGTTAGAATTTTTTCTAAAAGTACTTTGAAGTTTCAAATGTGATTATCGTATAAAAGAGAATTAAAAAAGTTTAAACCTTTCAGTAAATAAGGGCGACCAGGGACCGAACATAACAGTTATTAATGAAAACTAAGTGATACATACCCATCGATTTCTTTCTTCACCGAGACTCAAATTTGAAAATAAATTTTTATTTGCAATTTTTATGCAAAATTAAAAAAAAATAACAATTATTTTTAATTTTTATATTATATGGCTTAGATAACAGTTATTGAAGATTTTTATTTATAAAAGTCATCAATAAAAATCAGTCAGTGACTTTTACTTTTAAAAGTCATCAATATAAATCAGTCACCGACTTTTACTTTTTAAATCATTCGTATAAAAGTCATTAACATTTTCCGCAGTTAAGAAGGTGTTGGGAAACAAAAGTTTACTACGACTTATACAAATGACTTTTATAAATAAAAGTCTTCGATAACTGTTATGTAAGACATATAAATTAAAAATCAAAAATAACTGTTATTTGCAGATTATTTGGATAAAAATAAAAAAAGGAACAAAAAAAAAAACTTTAATACTTTACCTTGCATATCCTTGAAAATTTTGCATATGTATTTTTGAAAAAATTTTATGTTAACGACTAATTTACACACGACCACATACTGGAATTTCACCCTTCTAACTTTATTAGCTTTAAAAAATTTAAAGGGAATTTTCAATACCTATTCGTTCGTGTGAACCAAAAGTTTTATTTTTTTGTTTAATTTTCTCCTTTATTTGGTGAAAAATCCTGACATCTGACGCGTCAGAGAGAAAAACTAAAAACGCAGTTTCACTATATCTGGCCCATTGTTTCGTGAGTACATATGTATGTATGTATGTATATTGATTGTTTCTTGTGGTTTGAGATTTTTTGGCTAATCAACTCTTTTCGCTATATTATAGCCACCTACATATAAACATATTTTTGTATTCGTAAGCTTTTTTCATAAGCTTGTACAATTTCTCTAATTATATGTGTAATAACTATTCTTCTACATACTTTTTTAGTACACTAACAACTATACAGTTTTTTCACTTGTCATATTACAAAAGCAAACTAAAATAATGTGCTATATACAGTTATGCAAATGCCGGTGATAAGCTCTTACTTTCTTTTGGATACTTTAAATCCGCTTAAAATTAACAAAACTTGCAGTAGTTTAATTTGCAAAATTTTTGAATAAAATACATATTTCATTTTTCTATCAGACATATGTATGTATAAAACAATTTGTAAAAAAGCTTTATAAAATACAAATAGAGTTTCAACCACATGCGGATACACTTTTCAATTCCTCTTTTCCAACCTCATTTCGTACATACTTTTTAACAAAATATTATAAATAACAAGCGGCATGACGGTACATATTTATATTTAAAGTACTTATGTGTAAGTAATTCAACCATTTCATATTCCATGCTCATTCGCCTCTTCCTTACTTATTTTCAATATTTTTATTTACTCCCCCACCCCCCTAGCGCTTTACACCAAACAAATTTGGTATCGATTTGATTTTCTTGCGCGAACAATTCAAATAGTCCTTGTACATATCCGAGCGTAGATAACGTGAATATGAGTCGCTCTTCATGAGATGGTAGACATGCGCAGCGGCCACATCGAAACACCAACGATTTGGCCCATTTGCGGCGTTGACTGCTTCGCGTGCCAATTCCACTGACTTGGAATCCACATTGACCGGACAGGGTGCATCGGGTGCGAGAAATTCTTGCCAAATTTTGTGTATTGCTTCTTTGATTTCAGATTGTGGTAGCGTTTTCATTTGTTGCACCGACTCCCAGAACCTTTTTGAATTGGAAATTGTAAGAAATTATTAAGCAGCAGTTGTATGATAGGTATGTATGTGGCGCATTCCAGCCCAATTCGGAGACCATTTCGCTTTTGCATATCCGAGTTTTTTTTTCTTAATTTTTCTGTTATAGATGAAACCAATTGGTATAGGGTTGTGGAATGAGTGGCAGTTTTTTGAAAAAGTTTTCGAAAAATCGGCTAGTTCGCGTGTTTTGGAAATCAAAATTTTATATTGAAAATTTGAAAATTTTCTAGAAATTTTTTTTCGATTTTATATTGCAAAAGGGGTTTGAAAATTTCAAAACAAAAATGATCCCCATCGGCTCGTTTTTCGTACAGTTATGACATTTAAAAAAGAAACTTTTTTTAAAAAATCGATATCTCAAAAACGGCGGGACAAAAAAAAAACATTAAAAAATCACGAAGCCTCTCTCTTTTGGTACTATAACATAAAAAATTATGAAAAAAGTCGGAGAACGCAAAGCCAAACTTGTTCGAATTGGGCTGGAATGCCTCATATTTATAAAGGATTTCTCACTTTAAGTTCTCGCCACTGTATTCTTTTTCGAGAAATTTAGTGAATTGTTCGCGGCCCACTGGATCGTTCAGAAGCTCACGTAAACTGAATCCCCAACGTTTGACCCGCCGTAGCGGAACGTCTTTTCTGTAAATGAGAGAAATTAGAAAATTTAGTGGGTGTACAATTTTAATTTTTTATTAAGACATAAATTGTGATCTGTATCTTTTTTCATTGATAATTGAGATCTATTACCTTTATTCATTTTTATGATTTCGTTATTTACCATTCTTCCAGCAATAATGAAATTATATTGTTTTATTGAAATACTTTAAATATCAAGTAGGCATTGATTTACAAAAAAAAAATTCTTTGCTAATTTCACAATGAGTTCCGCATACGTGTACATTTTTTATTAGGACCACCAGTTTCCGGTGCAAAAATATACGAACGCTAAATCGCGGAGCCATCTCAACATAGCAGGATTTGATAATGAAGAACATTTTGAAGTTTTTTTTTTTTTTTTAATTAATACTAGGGTGTTCGATTATTCGATTTTTGCCTAAACCGCGAATTGGATGAGAAGCTCGCCTAACACGTAGAAAACGTTTAAGCGCCAAACAATCATTTGTTGGAATCAAGTATGATATTACTGTTCATCCACAAACTGCAAAACTTGAAAACTTCGAGAAACTTAAAACTTTTATTGAGAGATCAAGATTTGTATGAAATGAAAAAAAAACCGGTTTGTTCGATAAAAAAATCCGCTTTATTGGATATTCGAAAAATCAAGATTTCAAAAACCGCCTATATGTAGATATCCAAAAAAAGAAAACGGTTTGGAAAAACCGAGTCAATCACCCTAAGTAAAACAAGTTTTTCAGCGCCGGCTACTTGTATACCGCCGGCCCTTTTGATCCTCGTATTGACAGTTTTCTTTTTGTTTATTTAATATTCAATAATTTTCCTTAATTTCAAACCAAACAATTTTTTTTTTGGGTTTTTTGTGTATGTGTCTAGAGTTCTAGCCCATCAAATTTTAGTATATTTACATAGGTGGAAGTTTCAAATTCTAAAAATTGGCTTAATTTTGATAATTGTGGGTGTTACGTGATGATTAGTTGTTGCATTAACTATAATAAATTTGGTATCAAGTTTGAAAATCACATTTACATGGTTTTTGTTATAAAACATGTTATATTTTTATATTCAACAATTTTATAATGAGCTCGAGGCCATTTTTTTAAAGAAAATTTATTGTGGAAAAGCAACAATAATTTGAAAAAATGGTAGAAGTGATAGCTATTTCGGAAATCACCACATTTCCTCATCAGACTTCTTTCAGTAGGATTCGAACCGACGATCCCACTGACTCAGCCAGTTGCCTATGCACCGTGCTAAGTACGCCTTGTAAATTATCTTTTGCTTATTTCCACTATTTTCATTTTTGTTATGCCAACACAATCAAGCGCAGCTATTCCGCTGCAATTCACTTGATCATGTGGTTGTTGGTTTTGTTGGTTTGTGCTAATAATTATATTTTTAGAATGCTTAACTTTTAGGTGTGCTCGTCCTTAAGTTATTTGTTTTTTGTTATTTTTTGGCCTTTTAACAATTATATTCAACAATTTTGTAATGAGCTCGAGGCCATTTTTTTAAATGAAATGTTATATTTTTATAAAAAATTAATGAATATTAAATAAAAAAGAGAAAAACTCTCGATACTGGAGATCAAAAGGGGGAGGCACTGTATTTGCAATGGTAATTTCCACTTCTAACAAAATTTTAATTCATTACTTAATAATTTAGCGAAAAGTACTTACGAGTTACGTTCCGCATCCCACATTTCTGTGCTGTCTGTTTGCCAGGGATTGGGCAACTCTGGCAATGTAATAAAGTAATCAAATTCATTATACTGCTCGTAGTAGGCAACCAGGCTGAAATGGTAAAAATAAAATTGTATACTCTTTTTTTTTTAAGCGTCTTTATGGGATCTCAAAAAATCGAAATCGATCGAAAAATTTGTTTTTTTTTAATTCAGAAAGAATTCAAATAATACAGTTGGGAAAATCTAAACTTTTGAAATTAAACAGAAAACTTTGAAACACGAGAACTTAAGATTGGGTAGTCGATTACGGATTTCGTTCTATTGTGTGCCAGTCTTTTAAGCTGCTTTCCAAAAAAAGAAGGGGGAAAAACACAGAACTTACGCTTCTGCCGCCTTCGACACCTTGATTGTGCGTCGCTCGAGTTTTTGTTTGCGTAGCGCAATTACGCGCGTCAATTGTTCAATAGGATTCTTTGCCACCGCACCGCCAGAGGTACCCGAACCATGACCGCCACGCCGATACGCTTTCTTTATGTCGATTTCTGTAGTGTTCACACAGCCGGGCATCGGCCGGTGCACATCCCAAAAAGCGCGCTCCTGCGAATCTAATACCTTGCGCTCCAGTTTATCTCGTTTTTTCGCAACTTTGCTTTGTGAATCCGCCTTGAAGAAAAAATTGCATTAGAAATGGCACGAAAGATGCATATTTGCTTTCATCCTAACCTGCATGAAGATAAATTCCCATTTGCGTGAGAACATTTTTTGCAACTTAGCCAAATTTTCCGCTTCATAATCAGCCAATTCCAGTCGAGTTTTATTCTGCATTGTACGCTTGCACAGATACACGGCATAATCGGTGTTTTCCGGCTCCCAGCAATTTGATGGCCAGAAGTAGGGCGTTTGAAATCTACGTAAATTAAAAAATAAAAGAAGAGCTTGAAGTTAAGCTTATAAGTTTTTGCACAGCTGCTTGCTCTTAGCTTCTGTGCTTTTGCGCCATTGAAACCATGCGCCTAAATGTATACTTCAAAGTAATACATACTCACCTATAAAACGTGCCATCATTTTTCACAGTCAACTGATGATCATCGATGGGAAAAATGTAACCATGCGAGGCAACCAAATGAGCAAAATGCAAGGCTTCTGTCACTTCTTCTACACCAAGATTCTTTAGTATCCAAGCGACTAGATCCGCACCAGTAAACACTGATGGCACTTTGCTCATAAACGCTTTAACTGTACGCACGGCCACTCCAGTTGACTCTGCTTGCATCTTATCGATGATTGCTTCCATCTGTGGAATTGGGGTAAGTTATAAATTAGTTTAGTAGTAACTTAAAATAATTTTTGAATTAAACGGATATTTGGTTTCTTGTGATTAGTTTAGGGTGGATTAAGCAATAGTGGCTTGTTCAGCCCAAGTCCTTTATAGAACAGCTAACAAAGTTTTCGGCGACTGTTATGGTTTAGTGAGTTGTAAGCAAGGAAGGACATGCTATGCCACCCCGTTTCATTCCCAAACGACTTCACGTAATTGCAATTGCATATGTCAAAGTTTAATAAGAAATTGTGGAACCCTGAATAGCAAGTGTACGTGTTCGTATTTCAACAGAACTCTCTTAAAAATCCGAGAATTTTCATGACCCCATACATTCAAAGTTATGGCCATCCAGTGCTCCGGTTGTTATTCGTTTGAATGGCTATGAAGCGAAAACGATCAGATTAATAACACATATGGACGAGGAATATTCGATACGGGCGTGTAAACAATTCCGGCAGAGGTTTGAAGCTGTTATTACCGCTGAAGGCGATTTTATTGAATAAACATAATATAGCATTACTCCACTCTAAAGTACAATGAATTTACTAAGAAATATGTATACAAATTCCAGTTCTAGAGTCGGTAATTTCCTCAAATACCCTGTCTATGTATTTATTTATATATGTATGTTTCGTATTCCAATATTTCGATACAAAAAAAACTACGCGTCGTATGAGTAACATCAACGCCAACACGTAAATTATTGCATTGTTTCACATAACGAGGGTATTTTGGCGAAAACTCGTATCTCATAGAGCACTACTTTACAGGAACAATAAAAAACTCTATTAATAACAAAAAAATTATTTTTCATCAGCCCTAATGCTAATTCCATGTGAATAAATTATTCACATGATTTTACAAACAAAACCGAAACAAATTGGGAAAAATTATTTCTGTTTTACTTCATAATTTTTAGGAAAAATTGTTCACATGAAATTCCCGATAAGGCCGATTATATTTTTGATCTGAGTATTAAAAATTTAGTATTTCATTTTCAGCATATAATATGATGAATCTTAATATTTTCAGGTGTATTTTGAATTAATTTAAAGGAATACGAATTTTATAGTGATTTCTGTTACGAGGTTTTTCAAAATACCGTTAGTATGTATGTGCCCCAGAAAACGAAAATTTCTTAAAAGTAACGTGATTATTATATTTGCTTTATCTACATAATATATAGACTTTTTACTTGAATACACTGTTCGACTAATCAACTTAAAATACGGCGTACAGGTTGTATGAGTACCTTGTAATTTATTTCTTTTTGAAAGAACCGAAAAACTACACCGGATAGAAGTTAAAAATTAAAAATCTAGCCATTTGGAACACACATATTCAGTTTTTGAAAACTAACAAGGCTAAGATAGCAAAAAGTCAGTCGTAAGACAAATTTTATATATTTTATATATTTTTTTTTATCTAAATTTTTTTCTTTTTTAATCTAATTTTTCGTATTTGTTATTTAAAAACAACATATATTTATGTTCATATTTTTTAATTCATTTAAATACTTTTTTAATTAAACTTCTGTTTTATTAAATATCCTTTGGTTGTTATAACTTTTAAAATAATATATTTTAAATTTCATTTAATTTTAAGGAACTTTTTTTTTTCTTTTCTACATATTTTTTTTAGGTTTTCAGTTAAATTTTCTTTTATTTTTTGGATTTCACTGTGTAAAAAGAGTTTTTTTTTAAGTTTAATGTATCTACTTTTTAAAAATATATCTACTTTTTCATTAAATTTTTTATTCCTTTGTTAATTTCGTTTTCTTGTAATTTTTAGATTTTATTGTTTTAAAAAGAATTGCATTTTTTTCAAAGAGAAGAAATCTTCTTGATTACTGTTTTTTCTCTTTCTGATTTTATTTATTTTTGTTATTTTAAAAAGAAAAATATATTATATATATATATATAGTTTTTGATCGGTATATGATAAAACTTTTTTAACATTTGACTTGATTGAAAAACTCTATCTCAGAAGTTAGTTGAAGAACGCCCTATCTCAACTGAAAATATATTACAAATATGTTGAGATAGGGCATTTTCGAAATGGCTGCCGAGATAGGTCGATCTTCCAGTCAGCCGTCGAGCAAAAGCTGTTAGCGAACTTTTTTTTAACTTTCGTCCAAAATGTTCCCGTCCATTTTTAGAAATTTATTCAATTTAAAAAAAGTAGCAAAACAAACGCTCTTAGCGAATAGATATTGTGCCAAAATCTGCCATAAGATCCGCATTTTTTACTTTAGTCCTAAAACTGCCCGCCCATTTTTAGGGGTGTGTTACCTTAAAACAATCTTCCCAGACAAATATTTTTTCCGATTAGGCAATCTACCGAAATCCGCAATAAAATGGACATTTTTGCAAAAACGCGATTTTTGATACATATGGGCATTCCCATGGTGGCGCACGTGACAGTCGTACGATTTCAATGTGATACAAAAAAGGAATACCATTTGTTTTCTTTAACTTTTTTGGGCCATTGTATAGCACATAATTAGCTCTATATTTAACCGAAAAATGAAATCAATCGAACTGCTTGGTCCTGAAATATAAGCATTTAAAGAGAGTGTCGTTACGTGACAAAAATGGAAGTTGATTTTTTCTTTTCTTACAAAATCGCAAAACTCTGCGAATTGTGTGTGGCTATTTTCATGAAACTTATTTATTTATTTATGATTTGGAGTAATTCTAGTTGTTTTTAGAGTTTTTCGAATGAATGCAAATTGTTTCAATTCTATTTTACAACGCCAAGTGTGAAACGTGA